CAAAAAAGTTTGACTTCGTAGTAGCTTCACGCTACTTCCATTCTCCTCTATCAAGTGATAACACGACACTGTTATTTTTTCAGCTCTTTCTGTTAGATAAAAATTCATATTTTTTATATAGATAAAAAATAGTATAAGTGAACATGAGTCATTTTCATGATGGTTTTGTTTACCACTCACTATATTCCCAAAATCATATGATCACGACTTAACCATTAACCGGGTTTACATCTTATAATTTTTTATTCAAAAATAAATACCATGTTTTAAGTCGTACTTATACTTATATTATTTTTTAAAGTATGATATTTAAGTTTAAAACATTTATTTCTTTCGGAAAATATGGTTTGATGGTTCATGAAAATTAATTTGGATAGGTAAGATTTCATAAAATTTAATCCGTGTGCTGATTGAATGAATTTAATAAAATTTCAAGAATCTAAATTTACCCCCAATCAGAGTTGGACTCATATTTTCCATAGGATACCAATTGATTATTATGATGAAATCTATCCAAAGTGAGCCTAGTGGTCATTAGTCAACCTCATAATTGACCTGCAAGAAAATTTATATTCGTAGAGTCCATGCGCGACCAAGTGGTCAACAATTTTCCAACTTTTTTTTAGCGACCACGGTATTTGGAGCTATGTCCCGACTAATTCGTTGGTCGATTCTAGTCGCATACTTGACAGTGGTGGGTGAGTTTAGTCTACCAACAAGGAGTTTTTGCATCCCTAAAGACTCGAACTGGAGACCTTATTTAAGCGACATCAAACTGCTGAGTCAACCCTTGTTGGTAACAATTTCCACCTTTGATTGTCCCCCCACTTTACCAGCTTGCTATTATTGTGTGATATTATATTTTTTTCCCCCACTAAAAAATATACAAATAATGTTAGTCTCCAAATTGAAATTGATAGTGTGTAGCTATCTCAATTTTTTTAAAAAAAATAAAATTAAGGGTGATTGATTTTTAGTTTGATCCATTACTGCAATTTTCACCAGGGTAAACTGAATATTACAACATTGTAAGAATCAAAAAATCCTTTATAGGCTCAAAGTCAAAAGTGAGGGAAATACTACGGTTCCGTTACGGAACCATTCCGTCGTGGTTTATGACCTTTAGATCAATTATCCACAACGATTACATGATGATTTAAGGGACACAAATTCCGACAGAATGATTCCGTAACAGGACCGTGGCATTTCCTCAAAAGGAATTCCATCAACCTATTGTGTGCTTACAAATTACACCAAAAAAATTCCATTAGTTCTTGTGAAGCTGTGTTCAAACCTCAATCAACTCCTTGTGCAGTTGAATGTGATGGGCTCTCAAACTTTTCTCTTGAGCCTGCAAAATCATTGCCAAAATTGTTAGCTAAAAGAGTTAATTTCTAATATTACATTTGTTGTATTTATGTAGCATATACTCAAATCTCCTTCCTTTTTTTTTAGGATTAAGAATTGAATTTAAATTAAAATTATCACGTGACACAAATATAGGAGGGTACTTTTTTTTTATGGAGCCACCCAATTGTTTTTCTTTTATGGAGCAATCTGCCTGCGTAGCTCTTAGGTGCCACCATGTGTATTAAAATATGTGTTATTTTTTCTTTCTTTTTTATTTTTTTTATTTTGCTTATCTAATTAAAATAAAAATAAAGAAGAAATAACACATTTAATATACATGGTGCCACCTAAGAGCCACGTAGGCGGATTGTTCCATAAGAAAAATAATCGGGTGGCTCCATAGAAAAATCGGGTAGGCGGGTAAGATACTAATTTTATATCTTTTTCAAACCTGCTAATTACAAACTAGATATTTCTCAAATTACATCCAAAATTGAGCTGTAAGACTCTGTACGCAATATTGAAATTCAAAATTAAATATTATATTAAATGAGTTGACCCCCTCAAAGTCAAATTTGTGTTATGAAGATAATGGGATTTAGTCTTGAAATTCAATATCTGTAAGATTTTGCTAACTAGATATTTTCTTTTTCCATTTTATATTATTTTTTATTTTTCCTATTTCCACCATTCTAATTTCCAACTTAATGGGCCATGATCATTGCTTGCCCTCTCACCAGACCACATATTTAAGACTAAATGATGGGCCTATAGTCTCCATATAAAGCCCATCGGGCTTGTTGGACCTATATACTTCTTAAAGATTTATCTGCACACACGTTTATAAATGATGGGCCTATAGTCTCCACCGTTCACAAATGACTGAAGTCAGTGGCCAGTTTGGTCAATTTAATTTTTCGACAAAATATTGTTTATTTAAAATTTTCCAAAATTAATATTATTATTTTTTTAATTAAAGCTATAAGTTATTAATTTAATTACCGCTAAGTATGACACCAACGTGACCTCTTTTTCCAACTCTTGGAAATAATGCTTCTGCTGCTTTACCATGACTGATAGTTCCGTCAGTAGAAAACATTTTCTCTCGACCTTTAATTCACAAAAATATATATTAGAATCATCATTCATCAACTATCGGTTACAAATCCCGACGGAATGGTTCCGTAACGGGACTGTAGCATTAATATAGCAATTTGTTATATATAAATTTACCTGCCAATGCATGTCCAGAATCATTGCTTTTATATTGTCCATGACCTCTGTTGCCGTTGATATGGTGTACTTGACAGACGTTATATCTGCCTACAATATAAAATTAACAATGAACCACCTAAACATATTTCAGTAAAATAGTTTTAACCGTTGGTCAATATGACTTATTTAACATATCTGTATCCATAAATTAGTCCGTTTTAGCCCGAAGATATTTTGCAGATTGATCATATACGGTTCGCGACCTTAGCACGATTTGATCAACCCTCTTGATGGATCGATAACTCGAACACATCAATACTTTAAAAAACAACGCACGCAAGAGTAACACAAGAATTCATGAAAACGTTTAGCAATCAATAACATGATGTAATATATATATATATATATACTAATAACAATATTGTGTTCTAACTTCAGCATGGATTCAAAAGAACATTTTGGAACAAGACTATATTATTATACATAGAGAACCGTATAAGAATTGGAAGAATGTAATAAAAACAAAAGGCGATTAGTTACGTACCTCAGCATTTTGGACGAGTGGGAGACAAAGTGAAATGGCCGATAATTTTCTGACCATCCTCCCAACGGCTTCCGAGTTCTTGGGCTCGAGCTTGCCCCACTCGTTGAGCAGACTCAGTTCCGAGTTCAGAATATTGTACACCTTCATTTGGTGTTTCAGTGTTTGGATCATGGCTTTCTCCTTCACCATTAAGTTTCTTATTATCGAAATTCTCACCCACACGTTCATAAGCTTTTTCTGTGTTCATCCATCAATGATAGCGAATATAATTAAGTGTGTTTTGATAATCTTGTAAGTGAAATATTCGACCGGATAATTTTCCGGTCCTTTTACAGAAGCAAAATGCTCTGTAGGCTAGTAGAGTTGTATATATTGCCAAACAAGTTATATTATCTGATTTAATTTGTCAAACCTGGTCAAATATGGTAATTTTGCACCAATTCCAAGTAAACAAAGGAATCCTATACATCAAATATACACTTATACATAATTCTATATTGTATTTCATAATATCACTTCTAAGGGTGAACCACACCGAAAAAAAAAAAATGCCATTATACATAATTCTATGTTGTATTTCGTAATATCACTTCTAGGGGTGTTGGTGCGATTCAAACCGCACTGAAAAAAAAAACGAAAACTAAAATATTTAGGATTTCTTCACCGAACCTCACCAATACAAGGAATAATCAAACCGAAACGAACCAAACCAAAAATTTCAGTTCGGTGGGGTTTTTCGGTTAAGTGAAATTAAAAAATGATAACCACAAATTGATGTTAAGAGTGAAAATTAAGACAAGAAATAATATAAATGGAAGTTTTACTTTTTAAGTTTGTAAATGTTTATGCGATTGTGTCCAATTTTTTACTAACGAAGTCGCAGTATGTACATGTAATTTAAGTAAAACGTAAAACTAAAGTGAAACTTTATGATACTCGGTGCAGTTCGGTTAGAACCGCACACTTCGGACAGAAAACTGAACTGCACCGAAGTATTTGTGGTTTTCCAAAACCCAAACTGCACCATTAACCAAACTCTTCAAAAACCGAACCGAATAGTTCGATTCGGTTTGGTTTTTTCAGTTTTTGCTCGGTTTTGCTCACCCCTAATCACTTTTAACAAATATATATAAATCTTATCCATTTTATATTAATTCAAAACGTGTTGGCTTAAGTTGTAGACTCGCAAGCTTTAAATCTTACATGTCACAATATCATTCTTTGTATTTATGTTTGGGATAAAATTTTTGGAAACAAAGTTGACTTGAAAAATGCCATAAATGATTTTTTTTTCACCGTACATTATTGTCTTCCATAATCTCTCTTTCATTACCCAATTTGTCTTCAATTTAAAGATCACACAAATCTTTATTTCGTAATTTCATTTTACTAAGGATTTATCCTATTCATCATTTTGTTTTTTTCATGCTGATAAATTTTAGCCCATTTTTTGAGTGTGTGTCTTGTTTGCGTAATGAATAATGATGAATTAATATTATATAATATAATTAGATTGATAATATAATTAATGAATTACTAACTAAACACATTCCTTATCTTAATTCTGATCAATTTTTAGCCAATATCTTAATTATCATCCCTTATCTTATTTTTCCAATTTTATAAATTCCATTCATCATTTTTTTTTTCATTTTTCTAAGTCGATAAATTTTAAATATAATTAATAATATTTTGTACAAATAAATTTTTGAGAATTTGAAATAAAATACAAATGTATAGTAGTTTTTTGTTTTATGAAACTTTCATTTATTTATTCAGTATATACTTAGAATAACTAAACTCTTTTACTTTTTTGTTAAATTATTTTTTCACGTCCCCGTGTAGTACACAGGTGTAAGTTCTAGTTCATACAATGAAATAGAACAAAAAGAATCACATACTTCTTCTAATGGTCAAGTAATAAGCATACTTATATGCAACAACTACCAGTCTACCAACAGAGTTCTGGTTTAATTGGCCACCTAATTTAACAATAATAGAAAATTAAAAAAAAAAAAAATATTCAATGCTTAATTTGTGTGACGCCAATACCTGAGCTACTCCCTTAACGGCGGCCATCGCTGCCGCCGCCCGAGCATTGGCGAATCTCCACTGCAGCAGCCTGTTGTACGCCACGGAGTACCGGTGGTACTCTCCTTCCAACGCAGGCGACACTTTGTTCTGCCTGAAGAACCTGAAAACACTGCTCACCGCCCCGCCTTTCCCTTCCCTCTTCCCCGAACTCGCCGGAGTTCTCGTCACCGGCGGCGGCGGCGGCACTGGCGACGACATCGGCCTCCCAGGGGACAACGCCCACGCGGATGGAGAAGTTGAGGCCGACCTCGATCTCTTCGGCATTTCCAATTTGCTCGTGCTTCGAGGCAAATACGACCCGCCGCCTAAGTTTCGGCCGGCCTTTTTCGTCGAGACGATTTTCGTTTTCGAGCTTCTCTCATCCTTTTCGGATGCTTCGGAAATTTTCGAAGCCTTCTTGGAGTGCGTGTTACCTGCGGTGTTCCCGCTTCTGCTCCGGAGCAGGCGCGGCAGATCGCCGCCTCGCGCGGCGACGTGCGGGTGGCGGACGTTATCTGGTTTGTTCATGGATTTGATGACAATGACAATTGTTTTCAAGGCAAATGTGAAATTGTGTGACTTTTTTTTTTTTTTT